ATATATACACACACACACACACACACACAGCTCAATTAGCCTTTAAAAACAATAAAGTTAAAGAAAAAAAAACTCACCAATAAAAACATGCATGTTTCAGAAGTTTCAGATTTTTCTCCAAAGTATAAGAAATACAATGCATATATTTTGTAGCCGAGACTGCATTTTTTAAATTGTTAAATTATGATCAATTGTAATTTATTTTGAATAGTTTTGAATAGACATTTTGTCTCCCTTTGAAAGTTTGATTCCAATAATGTAGGCCAAACCTGACCCCCACACACATATTCAATATTTATATGTCCATTTGTACAAGAAACTTACACAAAAAAATGCACATATTACAGAAAATCTGCTGGAAACACCGTCAATAATTTAAAAAACTATAGCATGAATGATGAACGGATATTAACACATTACTTTTTTATTAAAAAAAAAAATCACAGAATTTGTTTTCACTGTTTTGTAAATCTGAGCAAATAAAATCCCAAATTCATAACAGCTTGGTCTATGTGTTCATAGTTAACACCCCATCCACCTTATTTTTAACACATGTGTGGATGCTGGCATGTGTAACTTGAATGTACAAGGCCGGTGTCATCGCTTCCAGTTATTTTACCTGCAAAAAACAGTACGTTACGCTTTTTATACCACAAATTGGTATTTGTTATCATATTATTTCGATTTATGATCCGAATCATAAACTCACTGGTTCGTAGTGCAAATAGACCTTTTACTGCACTTTGTTATTCTTCAAGTTATTTACATATAATGGCTAATAAATCTACATTCAAAGAAAATAGCTTAATTCTGCATTGCAAAATAAGGTGAATAAATGCACTGGACACCTTAAGTAGAATGAAGTGACCATTAGCAGCAGAGAAAGCTCTAGTCTAGAAAATGCACTTTAGACATTCAATTAACCTTCAGAGGTATCATTACACAAGCCTGTTCACCCAGACTGTAAAGGCCATTGTGGAGTAATTGCAACTCACATTTATGCACGCTGAGATAGCTATTACAAACTAGGCACCAACATTACATAGGTATCATGTCATGTGTTACAATGCACAGAGCGGTCCGTCACTAAGCCAGTATTTTTAACTCTTCTAAAGACATGAGTAGGAGGGGAGACAGACATGCTTAAACCGCCTGTTTCCCTGGCAACCGCAGCACTTAGTCTGGTGTCGGGAAACCAGGTCTCCTTTGTTGAATATTAAGACACGGCAACATTTAATTAAGCAATGTACACAGCCATGGAGCGAGACAAGAGGCCAGTTAAAAGTCAATTAACAGTGAGTGTCCTCCTAATTGAATAGCTAAAGACTGTAAAAGAAAACCTACTGCCACTTCCACTTGATCTAACAGCATGTGTACACAGACTGCTTCATACAGCAGCTCTGATCCGGGTTGTGACTCAACACACGACATTATGCGTAAATGCTATTGAACTTAATAAAGACACTTTAGTTTGAACGGCAAACCTTTCAATGGGTGGTTGACATTTAATCATGACACGATCATAAATAAGATATAATACTGTATATAAT